ATCCTTGTGGGAAACTGAACGGGATTTTGAAGGTTCCCGGAGGGAATGGGGTTGCTATAGCCCAGTGACACCACCCCCGGAGCTAAACCCAGGGCGGGAGAGGGGCCCATCCTGATTTTTCCTTGCACTCGGCTCCTGACGGCTGGGATCGCACCACGACCAAACCTCCTGTCCGAGCGCGCGCCACACGGATGGCTTCCCCAGACGTTTTGCCGGAGAATCCTTCCCGCTGCCTTTCCGAAACACTGGTGCTGTGACACACAACGACTGACGTCTCCGCCAATCCCGCCCGTAATCCTCTTCTCCAGCGCTTAGCAATCGCATCCCTGAAACCTCGGGGAGCCCTTGGAGCTTGTTCCTGGTGTGTGATTCCGATGATCCCCGAAACGCCTTGGAGCCAAGGAAACAATGGCGAGCTGAGTCTCCAAAACAGTGCCTGGGCAGGGCTGGGCGGTGATTTAAATTAATAGCAATTAGCGCTAATCCCATCGGCTCCGCCGCATGTTCCCTTGGGAACGCTCCGGTTGCTTTGGTGGTGCCAAGTAACGCTGGCTCCCGAAAAGCTCTGCCATGTGGGCTGCTGGCAGGTCAGGATCCCGGGAAGGCGGTGAGGAGCTCCGCAGTCTCCTTCGGATACCGCGGCGGCTGCGTCCCGTTGCCTGGCTCTGGTGCCGCTGCAGCTGCGGGGATGGGATCCCTCGGGATGGACAGCTGAAGGGATGGGATCATTTGGGATTGATGGCCGCAGGGAGGGGATCCCTCAGGATTGGCAGCTGCTGGGATGGGATCCCTCGGGATCACCAGCCACAGGGATGGGATCCTTTGGGATTGGCAGCTGCAGGGATGGGACCCCTTGGGATTGACGGCTGCCACAGGGATGGGATCCCTCGGGATCACCAGCCACAGGGATGGGATCCTTTGGGATTGGCAGCTGCAGGGATGGGACCCCTTGGGATTGACGGCTGCCACAGGGATGGGATCCCTCGGGATCACCAGCCACAGGGATGGGATCCTTTGGGATTGGCAGCTGCAGGGATGGGACCCCTTGGGATTGACGGCTGCCACAGGGATGGGATCCCTCGGGATCACCAGCCACAGGGATGGGATCCTTTGGGATTGGCAGCTGCAGGGATGGGACCCCTTGGGATTGACGGCTGCCACAGGGATGGGATCCCTCGGGATCACCAGCCACAGGGATGGGATCCTTTGGGATTGGCAGCTGCAGGGATGGGACCCCTTGGGATTGACGGCTGCCACAGGGATGGGATCCCTCGGGATCACCAGCCACAGGGATGGGATCCTTTGGGATTGGCAGCTGCAGGGATGGGATCCCTTGGGATTGGCAGCTGCAGGGATGTGATCCCTCGGGTTTGACAGCCACAGGGATGGGATCCCTTGTGTTTTGTGGCCATTGGAATGGGATCCCTTGGGACTGACAGCTACAGGGAAGGGTTCTGTCGGGTTTGGCAGCTGCTCCCAAAGCCCAAACTGACCAGGCAGGCAGGTTTATAACGGCACCGTGTCGCCACCAGCTATTACCTGTGCCGGGTCCCTCTCCGTGTGTCTCCCTCTGCTCTCTTCCTCGGCATTTCCTCAACCAGTCCTTCCCCACTCGCCCTCGCTTTGGCAGAACCTTATCCTGGCAGAGCTGGGAGCAGGTACCGGCTCCGCAGGGATCCAGAGACTCACTGGGGTCGGAATGCCACTGCTTGGGGGCTGAGCTGTGCTCAGGACCCGGAGCCAAGCCATTTCCCAGCAAAGCTGATCCCGCTGGCTGCCGGGAGCAGACCCATCCCTGCGAGGACATCCCAGGAGAGAGCCCTTCTCCCTTTCCTGGCAGGATGCCCTGCAGCAGGGAGCTCTGGCACTACCACTCACTTCATTCACTTCAGCCCTTCCAAGGCTTTAAGGCTTCTCCCGAGCAGAGCTGCTGGAAACAAGTCGGGACGTGGTTAGATTTGCGTGACTGAGGGCTGGCACGTCCTTGCAGGCACGGGGTGACCCCAAAGCTGTGGCCTTAGGGACTCTGAGGTCCAGACATCCCTTCCCAGCACAAGGACACCCTCAGACTGGACAAGCCCAAATCCCTGCAGGGTCACCGTCCCCAGGCGGAGCCCAGCCCGGTGCCTCTGGCACGGCCGAGCGATGGCGATCCAGCCGCCCCTACGCGCCCGGCCGCACCCCAGCGGGGCTGTGGGGGTC